TGAAAAAGTTACGTGCTTCCTGTTCCACTTATATGATGTTGTCAAAAAGAGGAAACTATAGTGATGAAGAACAGACTAGTGTTGCCAGGGGTTATGCATATGTTAAATTCATAACTGTACACCAAAAGAAAAATAAGTTAATTTTACAGTATGATAATTAAAAAAATTAATAAGAGAGACTTCCACCTCTAGGAAGATATAGTAGACATATTTTTTCCCTATTCTTTCCACTAAGTACAACTACAACTTCAGGAAACTATATATAAAACAAACATAGACTCTAAAAAGTGGAGAAGAGAAGACAGACTGGTTAGGGATCTCAAGATGCAAGGAATGACATGTTTATGAGTTCTCTGGGTTTTCTTTATGACTCATATATCCTAGACTGGATGCTGGAAAAGATGGCAACCCAGAAACACCAACAGGTACAGACCAAAAAAGTCCCAACAAAATTTTGTTCTGTCTAAATAAAGGATGAGGAAAGGGACAGCCTAGCAAGAAAGAAAACTCTTAGACAATAATTGTTCTACTCCAGCTAAACATCACAGAGAAAACTGTGACCCTACTCTCACCCATGCCAGCGAAGGTTGAGTAAGGTTGATTAATAACCCTTCCCTCTTCACTCACCAGGTGATGTCACTGGAGAACATGTGTGGGGTCTGAACTTCTACCTCCACAAGTAGTACAGTGTCCCTCCCTCTACCTGCTGGGTTGGGATCAGAAGAGGCTTACTGGAGAGTCAGGACATTCACCACTGTCCTCATGAAAGGGGAAATCAAGACATTCTTAGGTGAAGGAAATAAAGAAAATTTGTCACAAGCTGACTTGGCCTTAAATAATGGCTAAAGTAAGGTCTCTAAATAGAAAGGAAACAATAAAAGTAGGAATCTTGGAGGATCAGGAAGGAAGAACATGGCAAGAAAGTAGATGGGCAAATACAAAAGACATTCCTTCTCTTGAGTTTCCTAAAGTATGTTTGGTGATGGAAGCAAAAATTACTGCACTGATGCAGTTCTACTATAACACTGTCTGATGTGGAAATATTTAAGACAATATATTATTAATGGGAAAGAGTAAAAGACTGTAAAGGGAGATAACATTCTATAGTTTGCTCAAGCTGATAAAATGACAATACCAATATACTGTGATAAGTGATGTATATATCATGTCATTCTTACAGCAGCCACTAAAAATACTATGCAAAGAGATACACTCAAAATCACTATAGATAAGTCAAAATTAAATTTATGAAATGTTCAAGTAGCCTGTAGGAAGTCAGGAGAAAGAAAACAGGGAAATGAAAAACAGAGAGAACAAACAGAAAACAAAAAATTAAGTTACACTCTTCAGCTCTAACATATTATCATTACATTAAATGTAAATGGTCTAAATACATCAAATAAAAGACAAAGATTGGCAGAATGGATTAAAAAACAACTGTATGCTATCTGCAAGAAACTTCAAATAACAGAGCTTAAAAGTACATACAGCAAAAACTGATAGAACTAAAAGGAGAACGAGACCAATTCACAATTAGAGTGAAAGATTTCAATACCTCTCAATAGCTAATAGAAAACTAGACAGAGAATCAGCAAGGATGTAGGCGAACTCAACAACACCAAACAACTGACAGGATTTAATCAAGATTTATGGAATACTCCACCCCAAACAGCAGAATACATATTTTTTTTTCAGTGCCTATGGAGAATATACCAAGATTGAACATATCCTGGGCCATAAAACAAACCTCAACAACTTTAGAAGTATTAAAACCATGCAGAGAATATTCTCCAACCACAATGGAATCAAACTAGAAATCAATAACAGTAAGATAACAAGAAAAACCCAAACATTTGGAAACAAGGCAAGAATGTTCACTCTCTCCACTCTTATTCAACATAATACTGGAAGTGCTATCCTGTACAATAAGGCAAGGAAAGGTAATGAAAGGTAATAAAAGGTGTACACAAAAATCTGTATACAAATAGCAGCTTTATTTGTAATACACAAAAACTGGAAACAACCCAGATGTCCTTCATTAAGTGAGTAGTTTAAAAACTGTGCTATATCCATACCATGGAATACTTACTCAGCAATGAAAAATGAACAAATTATTGACAAATTTCAAGAGAATTAGGTTGAGTGAAAAAAGCCAATCCCAAAAGGTAACATATTCTATGATTTCATTTATATCATATTCTTAAAATAATAAAATCATAGAAATTGAGAACAGAGTAATGGTATCCAAGAGTTAAGGAGGGAGTGGGAGCAGGATGGAAATGGTGTGGGTATAAAAGGGCAACATAAAGGATCTTTGTGGTGATGAAAATGTTTTATATCTTGACCAAATCACTATCAATAACCTGGTTGAGATATTTCCTGTAGTTTTGCAAGATGTTACCACTGGGGACTGGATAAAGGGTACACATGATCTCTTTGTATTATTTCTTATAACTGCACATGAATGTACAATTATCTTAAAAATAAAAAGTTTAATTACAAACAAACAAAAACAGCTTCCTCAGAGGAAGAAAAATTGTGGATTCTCTGAAATGAAAAACGAATCAATCTTACAGTATGCTGCCATACTATGTAGATGTTCTATAAAGCAACTGTCCCCTTAATAAGTCATTTTTCCATAGGTAAATATCCTATGCATGAAGGAATACAGAGCCTCCAATGTTCTGAAACTGTGACATGGATATGTGACACTCGGTTTAGAGTTGACACTGATGTTCACTCCAATGTATCAGTGTTACAGGGTCTACAATAAGAACTATTGAAAGGAAAACTTCTTGTTAAGCAATGCACCTTGTCATAAAGACCTCCAAGGCATTTTAAATATAAATAAAATAAACAAATTAAATAAAATAAAATACTTTTGGCTTTAGTAAATCCAAAACCTTGATGTGTAAATTGAGTGATAGAATTTCATGATGCTGTTGTTTTCATAAAAAGCAAAGTAAGAATCCTCATATCTTTGTAAAATGTCTCTTACCTATTTCCTCTAATTAATTATCTCTCTCCCCTCTTCTCTAGTCAACAAATGAGTCAGGGGAATCTTAATTTATTCAACTAGATATATGTCAATTTTGTTAAGAAAAAAACGGTGTCCATTCTGTGGCCCAAATCGCCTTCACAATTTATAGAATTATTTCCAGGGTTTTATAACCACAAGAGCTTTCCACCATGCAGATGATGGAGAATTTGATACATACTCAAGGGAACCAAGCCAGGTCTACTGTCTTCCTTCCTATTTGATTTCTGTTAGGTTTTTCCTGTTGCTTAGACACAGAAATATTCTCAAGTAGCCTCTAAAATTCTAATAACTTCTTCCCAGAATGAGTTAACCACTTGTCTCACGGTAACCTCAGGGGTGAAAAGAATCATAAACTATGCATAACCTATGTGTAACATCCTGCAGCAACATAACTACCCTGAACTTTGCTCTAGTAGATCCCTGAGCTTGGTTGGTGCCCAGCACTCTTAAGCCACATATGTTTGTTCATAACTGGAAACTGCATTATTTGTGACAAAAACACTTCCTCCCCTCTGCTTAGAGTGGCTGTAGAAGGTAAATCTAAGTAAAATGTTGTGATAAATATTCATTGTTTTTGGACCGCTAAATTTCACTTCACAAATAGAAAACTAAGAACACTGCATTTTTTTATACGTTAGAAGGTTACACTTATAAACTACATTATATGTATTATACAGTGACACTAAGCTTTTATAACAGCCTCTGATTGTGGATACATGTAAGTTTATAATTTTTTAGGTCTTGTTTATTCTCTGGATTTCTCTGGATCATCATGATAGACTGGGAATGTGGTGAACACAGACATTTTAGCTGGTTTGGATATTGTCAGAGGGATTGAGCAAGGCAGACATTTCCTTTGCTAATTAGTAGTTTGAAAGTGAAAGCAAAATCAAGAAACATTTATTGAGTACCTACTATGTGTAAGGTATTACACCAGGCATTGGGCACTGTGGCCAAGCAGCTTAAGCACAGCCCTTGCCCTCAAGTAGCTTGTTAGTTAGCAAGACAACACATAAATATACTGTATATAAATATATTCAACGAAGATAATGAACAGAAACGATATAAGATGAGAGCATCTATGCTAAAGATGCTGATTTCTGATTTTTAAAAGAAATAGACTCTGTATCATTTCATCATGTCCCTGAGGGTCAGAATTGTTATCAATCCAGTATGTCGATTTGTCTAATTGTAAAATTCCTTATTTCCTAAAAGCAGTTTCAGAATATTTTATTCCTCCCCTCCCTGCTCCTGCCAAGCCTCAACCCTGCCCTACTGCATAGCAGTTATGCTGGGAAAATGCCAAAGAGCTTTCTTCATAGAACCCAAAATTGTGTTGCCTTCAACCTTAGAAATAGTCCTGGTGCATGAAACTTCATGGACTGTAGCCAGCAGAAAGACAGGGCTAATAAAGTGCTTTTTTTCCCCCTATGGAATGGTGACATACACATTTTTCACAGTGTCACTCTGAGATGGAGGAGTTGAAAAGCTGGCTTAGAATCCTGACGGAGATGACAGTAAACCTCCTACATCTCACGACCAGTGTCTTTTTCAGACAGCCCATCTGGCTCTTTAAAACCTTTCCCTAGCTGTGATTGCTCTGTCACTACGTATTGAGCATAAGTGGAAGGGGTCACAGTGGACAGAGAACTTGGCTGCTGTCTCGGGTCCCCTGGCTTCCAATGATTGCTGATTGGTTCTTTCGCAGACCTGTAGCATTTTTGCCTGTAAAAAAAAAAAAAAAGGGAAGGGGTGGTCACTTTTGCTGTAACTGATACTGTTAAGTTTATTTAGGGATTTGGTTGGATTCATTATAATTCTGCATAGACAAAATGCCTTGCACGTATTTAACAGATATTTTAAAATTTAAATTTATTTTAAATCCTTCTGTACCCACAAATGTAATCCTTGGTAGCTTAACCTTACTTGTGAGCCTTAACATTTTTTCCCTCTTTTGAAGGTTGGTGAACATTGAAAGTGAAATGATCACATTTTCCATTTACTATGCTGGAATTGGTATTGGAGCATTTATCGCAGGATACATTCATGTTAGTATCTTCTCCACTTTATTTACAGACTGATATCTGTGCTCAAAAACATTGCAATGAAATCAAGCTTCTGAGAAGCCCAAAGTACTATAGGTCTAGTTCAGGGGCATAAAATGTTAATGTGCTTTTGGCAGCTAACCACAAAGTTGGCAGTTTGAGTCCACTCAGAGGTGCCTCAGAAGAAAGTCCTGGCAATCTACTTCCACAAAATCAACCATTGAAAACCCTATGGAGCACAGTTCTACTCTGACGCACATGGAGTTGCCATAAGTCAGAATCAACTCAATAGCAACTTTTTTTTTTGGGGGGGGGAGTAGGGGAGGGATTTCATTGAATGAATAGATTTCTTTCTCTTCAGGCAGGAAAGAGGATACAAGCAGTTGTCTAGAGAAATAGAGAACAGACTCTTAGTTTTAATTTTGTGTCCTCCCTTGTCTTTCCCTACTCCATCCTCTCTTCTAACCTCAGTAATGGACAGTTGAGGTGTGAGTGTGGAAGGAAGGTGAGCAGTCTGGAGGAAGGTGGAGATGGTAAAGTAGAGGAAAGCAAAATTTACTTCCTTTTTCTCTTTCATTCTTAAATGTCTCACCAAGCAGCATTGCAATCCAAGTTCTGTATTCTAGATTTAACCTATGGAAGTGCCTGGGAGTCACTCAACCCTTTTTAAGGGAAGAAAAATATTTCATCTTTTGCTTTCTTCTGTAGGAAAAAAAGAATTCTCTACCATTCATTCAAGAATTCCAGCAAGATAGTGTTAGTTGTTAAAGAGAAATGAATTTTCCCCATCCTTTCATGGGAAGTTATGATGACTGGTTTGCTTTGCTTTGGTTGGGGGCTATCTGCCAACAGATTGCCTGCTTATGTTACAATGTTTGCTTTATTTTCTCTGAAAATCATTGACCAACAACCTGAAAAGCATATCTGAATACTTGCAGGGAGGCCTCTCAGGGGAAAAATTCACTTAGCAAAATAATGATTTAAAAGCAGTAATAAGTTTGGCACTCTGAGCCTTACATTGCACAAGAAAGTGAAGCTTAAGTCTAAAAGTCATGGGGTTGCTTGAGTGTCATAGCTAGATTTGAATCCAAGTCTTCCTGCTTCCATGCCCACAGCTGATCTGAGAGCTAGCCCAGAGCTAGTGCCTTTGTTCCCAAGAAGAGGCATATTGTGAATTCTTTCTCTCCTTTTCTCAACTGTTATTTTGAAATTATTTTCGTTTGAAAAGCAAAGAAGGAATTACTGAATATTGTTGACATTGCAATGCTAAAAATTTCTTGCTCCATTTCCAGATGTGCTTTTGGGTTATTGCTGCAGCTCGTCAGATACAGAAAATCAGAAAATCTTACTTTAGGAGAGTGATGAGAATGGAAATAGGGTGGTTTGACTGCAATTCAGTGGGAGAGCTCAATACAAGATTCTCTGAGTAAGTACTAGTAGAACAATATTTTAATGCATATGTGATTTTTCCGTAATAAAACCCTTGTTTCACAATTAAATAACAATTTTAAACATATTTCCAGTTATTTTTTAATATATTTTATATCTTAAATTGGACTTCTATAAGTAGCATATCAAATATGATCACTATAACTTGAAAGCCAGGCTACTTCAATTTGGTTTGTAGGCTCTTAATTAAAATATTAGAAATGAAGTATTATAGGAAAGACTTAAAAGAAGTGGGGTTATTCAGCCTTAAAAGGAGAAATCGAGAGATGTCACAATCTATGTGTCTACGAGGAAAAACAATACAATTGCAACTAATTATCTTGCTGTCTGTGGAGGCAATTTCAGCACACAGAAACAAAAATCCAAAATAGCTTTGAGAAAGAGTTGAACTAAAAAACTGGATTTAAATTTTATTTACACCTAAATACTAGTTTGGGTCATTAACAGTCCCTCAGAAGTTCTAAATGAGCCCTGGGTAATTAAAACCAGTTGAGTTGAACTTTGAGGTCCCATGAGAGACAATTAGTGAGTAGTGAACATAAAAATAGACTTGAAAACTGGGAGCTTTAGATTCCAGCACTTGCTCTGGTCCTTACCAGGATCTTCAACAAATAATTAACCTTGCCAGAGCCCTGGTGGTGCAGTGGTTGAGAGCTTGGCTGCTAACCAAAAGGTAGGCAATTTCAATGCATCAGCCACTCCTTGGAAACCCTATGGGGCAGTTCTACTCTGTCTTATTGGGTTGCTATGAGTCGGAATCGACTTGACAGCAGTGGATTTGGTTTGATTTTCAAACTACCATTGTTTAATCCCTGGGTAATTGCTTAAGTCCTTTTCTTGCTCTCAAGTCTCTGTTTTATCCATCTGGACAGAGATTAAGAGAATGTGCCCAGGAATATGAATTTAGTGTAATTATATTCAGTCAATAATCTGGAGTGCTTACCTTGTGCAAAACGTAAAGATAAGCCACATAACTCCTGCTCTCAAGGAACTTACAGCCTAGTAGGAGGGATAAGAAGAGGAAGCAAATAAATAATCAGAGGTAACATGTACATGCTAGATACCTCTCTAAATGCTTTACATAGATCAACTAGTTTAATTCTTGTTACTACCCATTGAGAAAGAGTCCATTTTACGGATAAGGAAACTGAGGCACAGAGTGGTTAAGTAACCTTCCTATAAAGAGCTGGTATTCCAATTCAGAGAATGTGGCTTCAGAGTCTGTGCTTTTAACCACTACTCTATACGGCTTCTAAGCAGAAAGTAATAGTTACACACACACACACAGAGTAATTAAATTTCTATGGAAACACAGGGAAGAAGATATTTCTTCTTCCTGGGGGATTATACAAGGTTTTATAAACTACGTGTTATATGAGTAAAACCTTGAGGCTGGACGAATTTAGTAGATATGAAGAGGGAAAGAAGGGCTTTTCAGGACAGAACAAGAGTATTAGCTATCACAAAGAACGAGACAAATAAGATGGTATCCAAAAGCTTTCATGATCACTGAGTGAACACCAGTTGGGAAAGCTGGGTTAGGGACAAACTTACTTGGTTATGAGGGAAGAGGTTTGATGATCTCCCAAGGTGCAGCACCTTTTCCTAGAGTTGAGAGACACTTGTGTTTCCTGAGGGCAATGGAGTACGGAGTTGGGAGTATTTAGAAGAAAAAGGTTGAGATTTCTCAGCAAGACATTTGAATTGTCCAAATTTGGTTTTGGTAACTGTCTTAGTCATCTAGTGCTGCTGTAACAGAAATACCTCAAGTGGATGGCTTTAACAAACAGAAGTTTATTCTCTCACAGTCCAGTAGGCTACAAGTCCAAATTCAGCGCATCAGCTCCAGGGGAAGGCTTTCTCTCTCTGTCGTCTCTGGAGAAAGGTCCCTGTGATGCATCAGTCTTCCCTTGGTCTAGGAGCTTCTCTGCACAGGAACCTCAGTTCCAAAGGACGTGCTTTGCTCCCGGCACTGCTTTCTTGGTGGTATGAAGTTCCTGTGTGTCTCTGCTCACTTCTCTCTTTTGAGACTGAGGCCGCTCAGCTTCTTGTGTTCCTTGTCTCTTCAGCTTCTGCTTCCTGTGGCCTCTTGGCCCTCAGGTCTCACACCCACAACTGCCCTGCTGGGGCAAGTGTTCCAAAGCTCTGCAGCTCTACCGATAAGTGCCCAGAAGCACCCCACTCTGCCAAGAAGCCTCCTGCGCACAAGCACTCTGCTCTCTTGCTCCGTGGGTTGGCTCCAGCCTTGTCTTGCTCTGGTCTCCTCGTTCTGCTGCTGGTGGTTCTCTGCTGCTGCAGGTTCTCTCCTGCTGTTGGTCCTCTGCTGCTGTCTCTCCTCTATCCATTCACAGTTCAAAACCACTTCCACATTTTAGGTATCTGTTAGAGCAGCACCCCACTCTCTCGGTACCAAATTCTGTCTTAGTCATCTAGTGCTGCTATAACAGAGATACCAAAAATGGATGGCTTTAGCAAAGAGAAGTTTATTCTTGCACAGTCTTGTAGTCTACAAGTTCAAATTCAGGGCATCAGCTCCAGGTGAATGCTTTCTCTGT